CGAGATTTCGCGTTAACTGTCCGAGACCGCCTGGCATAAAACATGGGCGCCGCCATTTTGGTTCTTTTTCCGACGCACAGATTCGCGGGCGTTTCCGAGGTAGGCCATTTTCACAATTTTCACCACAGGGGAAAATTTTAATTGAGGCAACACAACTTGACTAAAGAAAATGCATATTTTAAAAATATACGTTTCTTTTTTTTTTCTTTTTTATATGATTGAATTTTATCATGGAGGTGACTTCTAAGGAGGTTCTTCCAGCGTGCAGCGCTGTTGGAAAATGTTTGAATCGAAATTGAATAGACGTAACTATCCTAAACAGTCGACGGTTGTGCTAGCACGAAGTGGCTGAGTGTTTGAACGTATTGGTTTTGTTCAAACTGTTGATCACTCCAGATGATGCCTTCTTTCCTAGAAAATTTCCCGCTCAGTATACTTACAGTATAAACCACAGCTGGGCTTCGTGGGTGTTGAACAAGTAGAAATGTGATTGAGCAGGCGTCTGCATTAGGGATTGGCTATCCACCCCTAGCAGAGGGGTGTGCCTAGAAACGATTAGTCGGCCATAATTATTATTTTTATTATTTCCTTGGATTTCTGTTGTGTGCTTATTTCCTTCTGGGTCCCAACCAGAGACCTAAGGTCAGAAATGGCATCATGACATTTTACACTGAACCTTTTTGTAAAGTAAAATGAATTAGAAATAAAAGAACCGAAGAATTCACACATTTAATATAAAGTCCTTCGTAATGTGTGAGATGCAGTTTTGAGAACATCTTTTTTGTTTTTCTTTAAGGCATGTGCTACCAGAGATCCCTTCAATGTGTCTATCAGAACGTTTTCCAATCAAGCCTACAGCCTCAACCACATCTGCATCGTTTGTTGTGCTCATTTTTATTGGCATATTCACGATGTTTCGACCATTGTACGCTCCGGCCTTCTTCGGGTGATTATAATTTCGAAACGAACCCTTTATTTCGTCCACCGGGGTAGAGTGTTCTAGTTTCACGTGCCGTGCCTCTTCACGTATATATCACTATCAGTTATCTCCCTCTAACCTATCTGTCCAAATTTTTTGTTAACCACTGCCGTAGCCAGGTATTGAACTCACAACTGCTTTGGATCAAGTCACTGGATCCCACCAACGCTTTTATCCATGTGACCAGTTTTTTTTTTTTAAATAATAAATAAAAAAAAAATTATTGGAATGAACATAATGACGGGAGAGTTCTATAGAATTTATATTAAATCGATTGATTCCTTTTAGTAATTAATCAATTAAGGCAAAATTCCAAGATAAAGGAAAGGATAATGTTAATCAAGTTAAATGCCGTTTAAGTTGGCCGCGTTCTACTCGTTCTAAGCGTTAATTATCACAACTGTTTTTCTCAAGACAAGTGACATTTGTATAGACATTTTGTACACAAAGTTTTTCTAAATTTTTTTCATATTTTTATATAAATGCAATTTTTAAATATAACTTGAAGACAGACATACAATCGAAATATTGTTCAACATTGTAATAAACTGTCTCTTTTCGTATGAGTATGTATGCGTGTATGTATGCGCATAGCCTTGTTTTTTGTATGCGTGTGCGTCTGGGATTTCAGATTTTTAGTAAGCCTGGTCTAGTCTGGTAAAAGGCTACATTAGTGGAGCGTTGAGTAATGATCAGAATCAGTCGATTAGCAATGATCTGCAAGATGTACATAGCAATATTTTATGGCATTATTATTATTATATAATTATTATATGCATTTAATATGTTTAAATTAATCTGACACAAGACCAATTATGGAGAGTATGTAAAAGAAATAAACTATGAGTAATTTTCTCAGAGTGTAGCCTACTCATCATCGCTCTAAGGCAGACACTCATAAATGAATATTATTATTATTATTATTATTATTATTATTATTATATTGTCTGTTACTATTCTGTAGGCATGCGTTACATGACATCATTTCCGCTTCGAACAGAAACGTAGAGGATAATACTTACTTGAGGTTGAAAATTTCCGCTTTGTTTTGGGGTATTTCAACCGCCACTTTTCCCCATGCCAGTTTGAGGGTAACTGCAGTACTTGTGTGGGCAACGCTGACCATTTTTAGACCGGCTTTGGATAAATGACCATCTACAGTCATCTCGCTTTTTACTTGTAATGCAGCGCTACGTGGCAAAAAGAAATAAACATATAAATGAAACAAGAAAAGAATTATTCACTGATACACACACAAAAACGCACACACATATACATACATATATATATATATATATATATATATATATATATATATATATATATATATATATAAAGCAACTAAAAACGCAAGGGATTACTGAGTGTAAGAGAATATGAGAAAAAGAAAAACATTATTAAGGGAGAAAACAATAAAGAAACTCGAATTAAGAAGATGGAAGATAATTCTTGGCCTTGTCCTTTGTCGGTCTTAATAAATGTTTATCTTTTGGTTATCTCTCCCAAACCCTGCTCCAGCATCCATTCATTCAAGTTCAAGCACGTCACGTAATGCGCTGTTTACCTCTGACCCTCTTGCCTTTAATCTATCCTGTAAGTATAAAATTTCCAAGCCTTCTTTCCTCATTATGTGCTCTGGAAATTTCGACTCTCTCCCCCTGATTTTAAGTCCTTTTTGTTTCTATTTTCTCTAAAACTTTGTCGTTGCTCATATGTTCAGTCTATGGTATTCTCAGCATCCTTCTGTAGAGTCACATTTCCGTTGCTTCAATTCCCTGTGAAGAGATTGTCCAGCATTCACTGCCATATAGGTAGACTGATATTACATAACAGTTCAGTACGCTTTTCTTTGTTTCTAACGAAATACTTCTGTTTCTTAATACTTTGCTTAGTTTTTGGAAGGCAACTTTCGTTATTCCAATGCGCATTCGGATTTCAGTGTTGCACTTTCTGTCTTCTGTTAAAACACTTCTCAGATATTTAAACTGTTGTACGTGTTTGATTCAGGTATCTCCTCATAACTCTTAAGACAGACTCGAAATAGTAATCCTCTGCTACCAAACGGACCTAAATGCTTTCAGGCTGGATAGTTTATGATATAATGGATTACAGCGTTGGTAATTTTAAACTGTTCTTGACCTGTAATGCGGTCACAATTAATGTAGAATAAATCGGAATAAACAATTGAATCAGTTAAGTGGCAGACGTCATACATGCTTGTGGGATCATGTCTCTTTGAATTCATGACTGACTAGGCAGAAGATTTTCTCGCAGTATGTTGCCATTTCTTTCTTGCCAACTAAGGCTATAGGATTCAATCCGTCTTGCTATTCAACCCATAGATAGAGGGAATAGAATGGTATTTGTGCGTAACTGGATATAGAGAACCCGACTGGAATCCGAACCTGGCTCTCCGATTTTTCATTCCGATCCAATATTCATTACACCACCCGCACACCCAAACAATAATAAACAAAAAAGAAACGAAGCGTAAAGTCCTGTTTTTAAAGTTTATTATTTTCAATTAAAATATAATTTCTGTAAGCCAAGTTATTTATCAGTTAGTCTGGCATGAGGCCACAAATGTAGGGTATCCTGTGTGCATCGAATTTTCTGCACAATAGTAGATGTTTGCTAAACTATCTCTTTAAGCCTTACTCCACAATCGACAGAGTTCTGCATTTGATCGTTATGCGTTAAGCCCATCTTCCTATTTGACAGGATTAAATCGGATTATGTCGCTGGGGGATAGGAAGGTTATATACTTCGATGTCATAAAAAAAAGGGATGATATACATTCCTTGAAAATCAACAAAATAGAATTCAGAATCGTTTATGCAGTCTAGGGAGAAGACTGATTCCTCTTTGCAGCAGAGACGAAACGCTGCAACCTTGTCGCAACTCCATCGCTATTTCCATGGAAAACATTCAAATGAACTCCAGTCAAATAACACTAAATTCTTCCGGATACCAAATATTTGCTTAAACAGCTCTCCACCCCCACCAAAATATACAGCCACTTTGTGGAACATACTCCCACGTGGATGCTTCCTAGAACAGTAAAATCTTAACCTCTTCAAGTTAAGACTCAACAGTTATCTATCCTCCTTATCCTCATAATCTTCACTTCTAAATATATTTTTAGCAGTAAACCTCTACCTTGAGTGGCTTTCATCTTTTCTGCTGTGTGAAATTTTGAATAAAAAATTCGAAATCATATTTCTATATGGGTGACATATATTTCTATAGCAAAATATAAACATGTATCTTAGACACAAAATTTGGTTATTTTTCTAATGCGTCTTCTTATCTCTTCGGCTTTCATATCGTGTCTTCATGAAATCTTATTACCGAATGAATTATTCGGAGAAATATCATTCACTTAATTGCATTTACTAAGTTTCCTTCAGTCCAAAACTTATAAGGCATATCTACCATAACTTCGTCCTCAATACAATAAAGATGAGGATACTTCCTCACTGAGTTACTGAATAACTTCAGCTTTAAAATATGATCTTCCGATGAGAGCCTGATTATCCAAGGAGACTGTTAGTATCATTTAGGTGACACGGGTTCAATCCCAGCTGAAATCAAAATGCTACATGTCTTCACTTTTTCTATTTTCCCAACACACAGATTTCGTTTTACTAAGCTATCAATCAATGTAATCAGCCTAATTTATGAAATATTAGGATCTCGGAGAGACGAGTTCGAATTCCAGTCGAATCCATTACATTCACTTACATGCTAATACCCTTGGGAAAAGTATGAATCCTCTTCTTCCCCCAGCTATGGTAAAATAACAGGATAGACCGGGTTCTATAGCTTTGGATGGCAACTGGTCTACCGCAGAAAGAAATGGCAACCTATTGCTGGAAAAATATGCCTCGTTAGTCATGTATTGAAAGATACATGATCGCCTAAGCATGTATCACGCATGACACATAGGTGAATGATTAGGATCTACAGTGAACTAGAAAAGAAAAGTACCTTGGGGTGAGTTTTATTTGAAACATATCACGATCGCGAAAAATATCTCGGCTTCTATTTAAATGAACACTTCCAGTAGCGGTCATGGTCAGGTTGAGAGGCAAACCGATGCAGGTTGGAATGATAACGCCACTTTCTAGCAGTGACATACTCTTTCGAAATTCGATTCGATCCTTTCTGATGATATCAAATATCAACTGTCCAAAGTCCCGAAACTTTAACGTGTCCCAATGTCGGAGTTCGTTACCAAATACTCTCAAATATGAAGTCGCTGAAAACTGGTCGGTTTCTCCGAATTTCTGGAAAAATAGCAAAAAAGACACATCATCAAAATGAAGCAATCAATGAATGAGGCGACATCAGAACTAAGTGGAGATCCTTTGGAAACATCCGAATGAAATAGAGAAGGGTTAACATTTAAAACTGATGCAATAGAAGAAATATGCAGCACTGGGTTAACGTTAAAAGTAATCAGGTGTCGAGGCAAATGATCTGGGCAACTTTAGACACAATCAATGGCCGGAGGTGGGTGAGTATCAGAAGCAACTGAAGACTGAGAAACAACAGAATCAAGAAGAAACAACTAAAATCAGACCCAACAGTCGACGAGGTAACATCAAAACGAAGCCAAGAAGATTCGACATCGTAACCAAGCAAAAAATTATTCAACACTCCGAATTGAGCAAAGAATAACACAAAATTCGAACCAAACTGTGACGAGTGAAAACTGCTACAGAACGCGAAAGCCAGGACCAGAATGGTCATCGATTGGCCGGAGTGCTTTGTGGGCGTGATATTCTGACAGTGATTGATTGCCCTTTGCCTGGGCCTTTTCATACATGTCCTATATTCCGCAAAATCAAAGGTGGGTAGCAAGAATTTTGAAGCGTCGGTACGCTTCTCACACCCAGGTTCGAGACCGGCTAAAACCATCCGCGGAAGGACGCTGAGCCAACGTGAGACATGCGTTCCTGTGACGTCATCCTTCCTACTGTCTTTTAGTATCCAAGCTGCCACCACTCTCTGCTAATAAAACGAAAAAGAAATGCACCTTTTCGTTGATACCGTTTCATGTTGTAGCGTGCGGACCCAGAGACAACACAGGACGAAATAATCATTGGAAACACTACAATCGTATCTGTTCGAAATATAATTTAGTCGTATAAAGAGCAAAATGAATAAAACTAAGAATGTACTATGCTTACTTTGGAAATCAGCATTCAAAATCTTAGCCTCTACCTGAGCTCGAACCGATACGAAACCGCATTTGCTAAGACACAACATTCATTTTGCTTGCTAATAATTAGAAAAAGTGGCTTCATAAATTATTATTGTTTATTAGCTATTTATTATTTTAAAACTTAATAAACTGTGAAGATTATGTTGGATCATCTTCTAAGAAAGGAGATTAAACCATCCTTCAGGATTTGAAATCATATTAGCATGCATATACCCCGCAGAAGAGGAAAGATTCATAATCCGATGACAATGTTTTGTCAGCCATAACTGTGTCGGATTACCTCAATCTGCCTGCAAGTGAACTAACACCAGCGAAACGGCGTTTTTTTTGTTGTTGTTGTTTTTTTAAAGCAGTATAAAAAGAAAGGGTACAAACTCTCTCTCTCTCTCTCTCTCTCTCTCTCTCTCGTCGTTTTCGTGCGACGAAAAAAATATCTCCCCTACAACGTATCACATAAATAGATAACTCCTTTCAACATCAGTAAATCATCATATCTCTAACATCATATTTCTTTTCAATAAACAAGTCATCAGTGCTAAGAACTGATGATTCATGTCACAAGTTCATACTCTATTGCCGTTAGTGTCATGTCAGGCACAAGATTTTCGTTTAGTGCGCTTTGGGGGGGTATTGATGCCACTTTGTTTCGAAGATATTCTGTGAAGAAAACTGACGATGTCTCAGCCTGAACTTGAATATAGCTCCAGTCAATTTTGTTTTTTTCTCACTAATGAACTTTGCATCATCTGTGGTACTTTTGCAAATGTGTCAAAAATATTTTCATCTACTTACGTTTTCGTCCTTTAAAATTCCTAATCCATCAGGTTTAAGTGAACTTCCTCTTGAAGACGCAAACTTTCTTTCCAGAATTTTCTCCATGCCTTGGACTCTACCCCCAAATTCCATGAAATTGATAGCATGACCAAATAAGTCAATGGTAAGATTCAAGTTGGCCGATCTTGGTATGAAAGATTTCTGTGAAAAGATGACATTGCTATCTACTTTGGCACCCATGTTGATTGAATCAAAGAAAAAGGATCCTTCGTAGTTTCTGGAGAATTTTCTTTGGTCAAGGTTAAATTCTTTCTTGAGTTCTTCGTCTTGGACAATATTACGAATGTCCTGCATGTGTGGGTCCGATGTTTCCATCAGGTTTGTCAGATGAGACCACACAAACGATCCGACTTGATTGGACTTTTCTTTTTCTAACACTTGACGTACTTCAGACAAAACGTTTCGGCTTGGACACTTCATCAGGGCAATGTACGCGTTGAGACGGAGCTCAGAATCCTCAGATTCATCACGGAAGACTCCCATCAAATCGGAACGCTGCATAAAGAAAAAATGGGAGTAATTTTAACCACAGATTAGCCGATAAAATAACATGAATAAATGGGTGATAATAAAAGTAAATCAGTTAATAGGCAATGTTTTTCTGCACTATGTCAGATTTTATGATGTAAGTCAATGTCTTCTCAATAAAATTGTTATTAATCAACTAATGTCGGTAATTCTCAAGAAACAATTATATTTCTATGAGCAACATATTGTGTAAAGTCCATCTTATAATATCAATTATTATAAAAAATATTAACAACTGGTTTGGTGGGTGTAAGGCTTTATTCTGCGAATTAACGAATTGCAAAACACACACACACACACACACACACACATATATATATATATATATATATATATATATATATATATATATATGTGTGTGTGTGTGTGTGTGTGTGTGTGTGTGTGTGTGTGTGTGTTTGTGTGTGGGGGTGATTGATTGATTGATTGATTGATCAGAGTAAAGCCCATAAATATTATAACCTCCCCTTTTTCTTTTTTTCATAAAAGAAGTTGTATTTTGCTTTTAAATGGAAATAAATCGTTCACTCGCCAGTAATTTACATTCGTCTGATTAGATGCATTGATACACATCGTAACACAACTGCAACTGTGTAGCGATTTTTATAGGTTTTTGATGTAATGTCCTAAAATAAATAATATTGCTCTACTTTGTATTGAGCCCTCTTTTAAATTAAATGTTACAAATGGTGGAATTGTACTCTATTTGTTCTCATCTTACCTGGATATATATATATATATATATATATATATATATATATATATATATATATATATATATATATATGCATGTCTGTCTATATGATAGATAGATAGATAGATAGATAGATAGATAGATAGATAGATAGATAGATAGATAGATATTATTTCGATATATATGTAGGTATGCTTGTAATTTAATTTATAAAATTGAGTGATTCCTCGTATATCTCAACCACGATTTCCGGATTTTGATTCTCTGAGAATGAAATTAAGAAAACAATTAACATTATTCAAACATATTTCAAACATCCTGATATTTCGTTAAACAAGCGCTTTGAGAATTTAGAAAACCACACATCGCTGTAAATGAAGCCGAAATAAATGGTTGATTCAATTCAGACGATGGCCCTGAGTAGGAACACCTAAGCTATTGTTGAATTTATAATGGCGCCCAAAATGTGGAAAAATTTAATTATAATGATATTGGCCATGTTGAAGTTTAATAATCTCAATGCCCCCTTTTCAAAGACCAAAGCAATGGTTATGTTTGATAAACATTTAAATTAGTTGTGCTTTCAGCAACAAGAAACCCTTACAAATACATTGAGTTTATTCAACTTCGGGGATTAGCGGTAAACAAACGTGAGGCCAGTCAAAAACAGACAAAAATCAACACATTTTTTAATAAAAAAATAAACTGAACAAAAACTTGATCAGACAGTTTGAAAAAGTTATTTGATGACACAGATGTGAAATTTCTTTTCGGAGAATTAATTTTAAATTTAAATTTTAATCCATTTTTTATAATTTAAGGTATTCAATTATCAAAAATATCGAAACATTCTTTCAACCCCTGTTTCAATGTCCAACGATAATCAATTAAGTATTGTATCAGATTTAATTAAGTATTGTATCAGATTTAATTTCCCTTGAATGCAAAAGTTAACTAATAAAATATGTTGTTGGCTTTAAATATCTATTTGTACTTTTGATCTTTTCTGCATATGCGATTTCAAAGCTGGCATTCGATCCGAATGAGTCCCTTAAGTTCACAAGTTAAGAAAGACTCGAATGAGAACAAAAATCTGGACATTTTACGTACCTTGGCGTCGCATGGAATCCGACGGAAAGCATCTATTGCAGCAATTCTGATGTCTGCTGGTGCATCCTGATTTGTAAAACAGCGAGTGAGATGAGAGACTTGCTCCTGGGAATGACCAATGTTGCCAAGTGCTCGAAGAGCAAAGTGAATTCCTTTGGCATCACCATTCTTGATGTTGCAATCGTGCGTGAGATATATAAGTTTTTTTATCAGGTGGGAGACTTCGGAATCTTTTCCGCAGTCGGGTCGGAGATTGCAATAACCGCTGGCCAAAGATGATACAGCAAGCATGGCATTCCCAGTAATATTCTGTACATCCAGCAACGGCTGTAAAGACGAACGTATTTTAAATGAAGCTTGTTTTCTTTTAAAGTCAACAATGCTAAATATTTGCTGCTAGAGTTTCTACCTTAAGTTTCTAGATTACATAAAAGTTTATGTCACACACAGTCGTGGCCGCCCAACCATAAATATATATATATATGTGTGTGTGTGTGTGTGTGTGTGTGTAATTACATTCAAGTACAACATCAACGTAATTTATTTTACTAGAGTTCAAATGTTTTGGTTGTGTTCTAAAACACCCCAATACAAAGTCATGTCACGTTCTTTCGCTCAGTCTAAGATTATTACAACTTCGACACAATGCACATTATAACAGAGAGAGAGAGAAAGAGAGATGAGAGAGTGTGAGACTAAGATATGTGTTATGCTCCCATATGCTACACGAGTTTCGGATCTTGTGATCTTCATCAGGCGAAAAATGGTTATTTTCACATATTATTAAAAGGTATTAATTTTTTCCCTAAGTTTTCTCATATTTAACCCTCGTTTTTTATGCATGGTAGTAATCCAAATAATTCTTGGACTAATGGAAACATCTTACTTTGCTCAAGGGGTCATAAAACAATTAGGGTTGGTCAGAGAAAGGCATGATGTCTTTGATCTTATTTTTTATGTCCTCTGTATCCATTTAAACTTATCTCTATGTTTGTGTATTGTGCTTATGTTTTTGGTAGTACTACCAAAAACAGAAACACAATACACAAACAATATTGTGTTTATGTACACAATACACAAACAATATTGTGTTTATGTACACAATACACAAACAATATTGTGTTTATGTACACAATACACAAACAATATTGTGTTTATGTACACAATACACAAACACAGTTTAAAATGATACAGAGGACATAAAAAATAAGACCAAAGACATCAGATTTTATATATATATATATACATATATATATTGTACGTTGTGTATAATTGATCTGTGTACGTCTGTGCGTGCGGTCCGTCTAGTGTGCTTGTTTTGGCCACTATGTGTGTATATATTCGTTCTCCATATACATGTACTATATATTATAGTATTATAAAGAAATAAATGCAGTAGCTGCATGTATTCTGTATGGTGTGTGTGTGTCTGCTTGTGGTCCGACGAGTGTATTTGCCCACTATGTGGGTATGGTGTGAGTTTAGGTGTTATGATTTGTGGGTCATGATTTGTTTATTGATGGTTTAAATTTGTCTATATGTTTTTTTTTTCTTGTATATGTAGGTAAGAGTAATTGTCTGTCTGATATATTAGCATAATTTTAAATTTATCTTTGTTGTATTTGTGGATATGTTGTGACACAATGTTTTTTTCTGTTGTTTGGTAATTAATGTTGCTTTTGTGAAGGGAAACTCTGTTGTTTTGTGCTTACGTGATGCCTATATAGGATCAGTTGCATTTTGTGCACTTGAGTGAAAAAATCACATTTTTGGAGTTGCAGTTTAAGTTTTTCTTTATTGTGAATATTGTTGTGGGGTTTTCAAAAGTGTAGGAGTTTCCTTCTATAATAATATCAAAAACCCCACATTTTTCTTCTTGCATTTTGTGATCCCTTCTATTGTGCGTTGACTAAATTTGGATGCGGTTAATATGTGTTTAAGGTTTTTTGATTGGCGTTTGCTTTTAATTATTTTGGTTGAGTTTAGTATATCTTTCATTTTACCATTTTTGTTAAGTAGCTCTAGATTTCTAGTTATTTCTGTAAATAGTTCTAGATATTTCTTCTTGTATGTTGGGACTTATTCTAGAATTTGTTCGTTGTTGCCTTGATTTAGGTTTCGTTGTTGGTCTAAAGATATTTTCTGCTAGTTCAAAACCATTATTTATTAGTGGTGTGAGAGTTTTATGTAATCCTTTTAGGTGGGTTTTTCGGAGGTGTTTGTCGGCCATTATAGTGCAAATTCTACATGCTAGGGAATAAAGGATGGAATTCAGAAAGTTTTTGGATGATGGATCTTGAAATGAAGATATTGATGGATGCCTGTAAGTTTGTGTTAAGTATCTGTGATAATGTGGCTATTTCTATTTCTGAAGAGAATATCTAAGAATGACAGTTCGTTAAAATTACGTTCTTTGATCTTCGGGTGTAAGTTTTGGAGTAGATTCTATAATTGGTTAATATCGCTCTGTGAGGATTTCTAGAAAATGAAATTTTCACGATTTAGTGAAGTGGGTTTTTATATTTTATCGATATGTTTACTCTATCTTTTCATAAAGGTTTTTCTCTAGTTAAGCTAAGGTTGGGGGGGTATATTTTCATTCCTTTTACCTCATCCCTTCCTCCTTTCTCTGACCAATCCTAATTTTTTTTATTACCCCTTAAGATAAGTAAGATTTTTCTACCAGTCCAAGTAGAATTTGGATTGCTACAAAACACAAAAGACAATGGTTAAACATAAGAAAACATAAGGGAAAAATTAATTCCTTTAAATAATATTTGGAAATAACCACACTCCGCCTGATGAATGTCACAAGACCTGAAACACGTGCAGCAAAAAGTATGGAAAATAAAGTATAATATATATTTTTTTTAAAATCCACATTATAAACAAAACCAGTCTTGTTTATGGATGAGGCAACATTTGGATGGAATAACAAATTTACACAACAAACATTTGGTACAATACAGGCCAGACACCAGCATTAGGTAATAATAAATATGTGGGCTGGAATTGTTGGTAACTGTCTAGTAGGTCCATATGTTCTTTCTGCACGTCTTACAAGAGTTGTCTACAGGAATTTTGTTACGAACACACTTCTAAACCTGTTAGAGGATGTACCTCTGCTAATACGAAGACGCATATAGTACACGCATAATGAAACTCGAACACATTTTAGTCGCATTGTTCGCGATGCACTGACTGACATCAACCATGATGGATAGTTAGGGGAGGACTGGTCCCATGGTCTGCACGTTCCTCCGACCACAATCGATTGGATTTTTATCTGTGGAGCCATCTAAAATAAACGGATTATGAAGCAGACATTAATAATGCAGAGACGCTTCATCAACGTGTCATGGGGGCCTGCCAAACCATTCGACATCTTGTGGGAATATTTGAAAGGGTCCGCCGGTCAATGATCCGACGGGTGTATGCGGAGGACATTTTGAACATTTAATATGAGTTGCCCTGTTGAGGTACAACGATGGCCTTTTGGACATATGCTTATATGGACATTTTCCCTTGTCTTGGTGTCAGGAACTCACCCACAAAGTTTATAAGAGTATTTTTAATACACCCGGTATATATTTGGTGACTGCTGGTTTTTAAACGCAGCCCACACTAATTAGAACTTTGCTTTTCCTTTACTAGCTCGCATAACGCATTGTGTTGTTATCGGTGATACTGCGCATTGTCCTGGACTTAAATCTATTGTTCGGAACTGTGGGTTTATCAAACTCCCAATGAAGAAGGCTGACACGGCATATGTTCTTTCGGTGAAACGCGTCGTTTACAGCTTTTCCACTTTTTCTCATTATTTTCATCTTTGTTTACGATACTATTATACATACTACAAGTGCAACACTCTTACACACACGTGCATATATTGGGTGTGGTGTATAAATTGTTGCCATTTTATATTTTTAACTTTGCGCATGCGTATTATGCGTTTTTGATTTTGTCGACTGCACAGTACAGTATGGTCAGTTGGGCACTGTCTGTGAGAAAAAGAGCAACACGATGCAATTCACCCGGCCAGAAAGTTGGAAATAGCATGCTGTATTCCTTGACATTCGCACCGGAAGGATTATGGCAGCATTCACTAACTTAAACAAGAAAATCGTCCAGAAGAGTTGCAGGAGATTCCAAAGTCGCCTGGAGGCCGTGGTTGAAGCCAGTGTCGATTTTATTGAATAAATTTACTCTTTAGTATTTCAAGATATCTTTCTGTAATTTCGGTAAATATATCTGTTAAAATGTAATGTCGCTTTTATTTTCATTTTGCGTCATTTCGTCGACAATTTATCCATCGTACCATATATATATATATATATATATATATATATATATATATATATATATATATATATATATATATATATATATATATATATATATATATATATATATATATATATATATATATATATATATATATATATATATATATATATATATATATATATATATATATATATATATATATATAATAGAATAGGATATATGATGGCAAAAATTGATTACTTTTTCCTCACATTGAACTTTATCGTAGTATGCCTCGCAATCTAAAAACTCGGTGCCAGACAGTGCACTTTTATATTATAATTATTTTTGTTCGTCCGTCACTTAATAAATAAATATATTCGTTACGCCCTGTCCTTACCGTAGATAAATAATGGATCATTTCACTTCTGTTGCGAAGAAAGATGCAATAAAATACTCTATCAAAAGCGCCGTTTGGTTTTTGTTTGAAAAAGTAACATACATCGTAAGGAGAAAAATCGAAACCCTTTCATTTCTACCCTCTTACATCTTTAACTAATGATCTACATTCAATTTTTTTTTTATTATTAATGCAATATTTTGTTAAAGTTGTTACGCTCGAATATTTATCAATGCTATAAGCGAATATATTCATGGGCTTTTTATAGTCGCTTATCCAGTTATTAAATTAAGAATTATATATCTATCAAAAACAAAAAAGAAAACAATAAATTGTTCACGGCTACTGTTAGCATCTGTCGTTGGCTGAAAACAAGATGGACGAAAACTTCGAAGCCTTTGTCCAAATATCTTGTAGCCTCTATGCACACGTCTTTTGATGTTCTCTGAGCAAAATATGACGTAAAGTTACCCAGTAACTTCCTGACTAGAACTGAAATTGTATTCAGTATCTTTAAGAGCGTTTTAGTCATGAACGCGACTTACTGATTTCACTATGGAATCTTCTCATCAAGCCTGATACAAATTCAGTCAAATAGTTCCGTTCTCATCAAAAATTAAACTTA